TTCTGGACGACTTGCTTGTTACATCAATTCAGGGTATTAAATTAAGAAAAAGGGTGGATAAAGACAAAAAGCAAAAAAAAACTGATGTGGAAAAATCTACGACCAGAAAATTTTGTTCATTTAGAAATTTTGAGACTTTTTATTCTTTTTGCCTTTGCCTCACTATCGTAACGCTAGTAAAAATTTGTGCGGTTTTCAATTCTAGAAGAGAAAAGAGGAAAAATATTAGGTCTTGGAATAGGATAGATTGACAAAGTGTCGAGGAGGAGCGCAATTGTTGGACCGTACTTCTTAAATCGGTCTCTTCGCACTTGAACCTTGTTGCATCCCTGTCTCTCTCATTGAAAAAATTTTAATAAACTAATGAATTGTTTAATTGTTGTGCCATTGTTTAATAAATTGTTGTTTCGAACAATTGTTGTTTTAATAATTGTTTCGCAAATGTAATTAGGGAAAACTGTTGTGAAAACCAGAAAGTTGAATAACAAACCATTTTTTCGTATTTCGCGGCCCCTACTTTTGACTATCTATAACAAATTTTTAGTTTTAATCTACTAATTTGGAAGAAAATAACTGCCTACGACAAAAATTTTTCATAGCAATTTTTAGACTTTGAATGGGTTGGCACAGGAACGAAGCGCTCACCAGGCATGTCTCGAACGTCTCGAAAATCTGCAGCGAGAAAACTTTGCGCTGATGCAGAGTCGATATTTAGGTAACTAAAAAACCTTAAAAAGTTGTCGTTTAATGTCCCCCTGAATCGTCGAGAAAAAAAACTCAATTCTTCCAGAATCCGGCTGCGATGACGCCGTTTGGCAACGAAAAATAGACGCGTTGCCGTTGTACGAAACATTGTACTCCTTCACACAGAATACTGTACGAAAATATTCGGATTTGAAATGGGCGCTAATAGATCGGGAGCGGGAAGCAATCCGCGCAGAGCTTGATCTGATAGCTGCTCAATCTTCACTACTTGTTACGCATGCTCAGGTAACGAGGTCCCAAAAAAAAACAACAAAAAATTGTCGAGATTGAGGAATTTCAGAATGAAAGACTACGCATAAGGCTAGGGGAAACTCGTCCAAAACGTCCTGCTTCATTCCATGGCGAAGATTTGACTAATAGAATGGTTTGTAGGACCTTTTGCTTTACTTTTGTCAGCCTTTTAATCTCAAGTTTGTCTTAGGCCAAGAGAGAAATGAACTTCTTCTTGCCTTTCAAACTCCAAGGTTCCCGCATAGAAAACTCTAGAAGAGTCCTGACCAAGAAAACCGTTGACTGTGAAAAAGACCTTGAAAGCGAATTCCTGACAATGTTTGCTAATGGAAGAAGTGAGTCTGGTTTTGTTATGATTTCTTAGCAAGAAATTAGCTTAAGTGACCTAAGTGGTTTCTATCTAGTGCTCTAAGCATGACTTAAGTAAACAGTAAACAAGTGGTTTGTTTACAGATGCAGCACATTCAAACGCTCAGGAGAAACCCTATGCCACTTCACGAATCGAACACATGATGAGAGAAATGTCCTTCAATAACAAGTCGAGAAAATTGCCTCCACCGTCATATATTCGTGAGAAACCGCGAAATTCTTCTAGCAGGCCCATGAGGTGCGAAAATCATCAAAAATCGAAAAAGAATTAAGTGAATTTTTGAGTTAAGTTTGATCGAAATTGAAGAACAACGCCGTCTTAAACGATTTGAAGAGACAAGGAGAAGTATCAAGATTAGGAGACAACCCAGTGCGGAAA